AGTAAAATACCAATCGGAGTTCCACGGATGACTCGTACCTGAATGGAACGTAGTGGAGTCAGCTGAGGATTGCCGATTGAATGGAGGGTAGCGGAGTCAGACGAGGATTGCCGATTGAGTAAAATACAATGCCTCAAAATAAAACAAATAGCTTACTGCCATAAATGGGCTCCTGGCGGGGGCAAAGTACACAATATATAAATACTACATGAACGAGAACATTTTTTGTGTTTATGTAATTACAAAAAGCTAAATATTTTCAAACTCATTTAAAAGGTATTGAAAAAAGTTAAACAGAAATTATGAGGAAATGTTAAATGTTCAAACCTATGCATGTGTGAAGCATTAATTAAGAAAGGATCTGAATTAGGTGCCTTTAAATCGAAAGAAGGGATGAATTGTTGGTCATCACATTAACAGTTAAACAAAGTACCCTGTACATTTACTTCCATGTGCATGCAAAGCCAAAAGTATACGATGAACGTGTTTCAATTTTATTTCCAGTAAATTGAATTCATGAACCTGAAGTTGTGCTATTACAAAACTGATGAATAATTAAAAAAATAAATAGAAGTCAATTGTTAACAATTTTTTTAATGACATTTAAGACAATGATTCTATGGAGTAAGAAGAGGGGTATACACCCCGCGTACAACATGTTGCATATACCCCGGACACAACATTGATTTTTCGTCAATATCTTTATATACGAACTGTTTTATTTACAGACAATTTGTACAAACGTTTATATTGTAAAAATGTATTTAACAATAATATAAAAGTGACGATAAAGCAAAGCTTTGTTCTGATATTTGATCATAAACACAGTGAAGCACCAATCTTGCTCCGACTCCCGGAATTGTGTTGAGGTGTTTGAAAAAACTAGAAAGTGTCCAGTGGATTCACAGGTATCCATATACTCTTTAGACAATGCTTCCTTCCGTTGGCATATGCTTTCTGGCGAAAAATATCCGTAAGTTGAGAAAATGGACAAAGAACGTACATTGACCCCCTTTTTCTCGCTTCGGAAGCATACACCCCGCGCACAACTTAGTATACACCCCGCATGTTGGGATATACACGGTGAAAACGTGATTTACCGTTTACGGAACTTCAAATTGCTTCATATTGTTTTATTATCTACATGTACCAGACTAAGCTTTGTTAGTTTATGTTGCGGTTTCCGTTTATATTCTTACATGTATAATTGACTTCTCCAACAGAAGAAGGTAACCAGGGAAAGTAAAACTGCATTCTACGATACACTAGAGAGATCCTTGCCTTGTGAACATACATTGAGTGATCACATTTCACCCGCACGTTACTACGAGATTGAATGTCCACTAGGAAAACTGACTGAGCACCAGGAAGAAGCAATAGAACAAGTCAGAAATTGTATTGTTCATACGGCAAAAAGTCTTCCACATTGGGATGAAAAAATTCCACATATATGGTCTATGTTTGAGCAATTTATTCGAGAACACAAAATACAGAAAATTTTACACAGAAAAAGCCTAAAAACAGAGCAAGAGTTTAGGTCTCTGGGCGAAAATGACCTTGATGATATGCTCAGATACTTTTCGGAGGTAGGCCAGATAATCTATTTCTCGGAAGAAGGTTTGAGACACAGCATTATACTGGACGTTGGTTGGTTTGTAGACGCTTTTAAAAATATCATAACAGACCCTACTCACGCTCGCTCAGCGTGCAGTAGGGTTAAAGAGTGGGACATTTTTATGAAGAATGGAATGATTTCAGATTCAACACTGGTCAAGGTATGGAGGGAAAACAAAAAGGAATCGTATGTTCTTCAGAAGGATCATATTATACCATACATGGAGAAACTTGGCATTCTTGCAAAAATGAAAACCCAAGAAATTGAGGTGAAAGACGCGGAATTGTTAGAGAATAAACAAGAGTCCTTGTACTACATCCCAAGTATCAATAAGACTGATTTCACAACAAAAGGCTTTAATTTCTTCAACAACGGATATAAAACTCCGATTTTGGTTTTTTCTTTCAAAACGTATATTCCACATTTCTTTTTCTTTAGACTTGTTGCAATATGTTTTTCGAAGTGGGAGTTATTACGGAAGGACCGTCTCTGTAAAAACGTTGCCTTTTACAAGGAAAAGGGGGGTGATATTAACATTGCTATTGCTGTTAATAAAACGTCCATTCAATTGCAAGCATTTACTCCAGATGATAAAATCAATCTAAAAAGCTCAGATACCAAGAATATCAGAATTCAAATTGAACGTTTGCTTCGGGAGGTTACTACTACTTTCCATCACCAAGTCATCTATGAGGTTGGGTATCCGTGTAGAGACATAAATATCACCGAAGAAGATGAGCATTGCTTTTTATCAGAAAGAACAGTCGCCGAGCTAAAAACGAATGAACGAGTTTGCCCGAATTTTATAAAGGAGGATCATGAAAAGCATCAGATTGTTCGTGACGACCTGCTGCATTACTGGTACACGGTATGTACTTTAAACAGGCTATATTAAACGTAGCAGCATTTCGACTGGAGTAATGTTATATTTACCAAAACAGTTACTATAACTAGAGAATTACATTTAAAGGGAAGTTGGGTTGTAATCTCCCTGTCACGAATAAACAAAGGTAATTTAAAGACAATTGCAATGATCGATTTATTTCTTTGTTTTAAATTATATTGTTATGATTTATTTTTCAGGGATTTGATAGCAGAGCCCATTCTTCTTGGTGGTTGGACTAAAAGAAATTGATTGTAAAACGAAACAGTTTAAATGTACAAAGCGAGCTCTACTTTCTCTTATCATTTCTGTTTCACGCTGGTGGTCTATATAAATACGTATTGATAGAAAAATTAATATGTATTGAATTAATTCTGCATTCATCTGTTGAGGTTGACTAAAAAAAAATAACAGAATTAGACTCGGCCATTCAGTGAATTGAAAATCTACTGAAAGATCACATGTAGTGGAAAACAGATCTTTATCATTTAAGCATTAATATGATTACTTTATTGAATGCAAGTATTAATATTAACCCCGTATAAAAAAAAAACATATATATATATGAATATGTTTTAAACATTATATGTACATGTATTGTAATAGAAATGATACCCAACCCCATATATTTGTTTAAAAAAAAAAGTTTAAGTTTAAATATTTCCATTTCTATTTTTTTTTCTCTGTGATAACTGTTTGAAAGTTTGGGGAATTTATTTCTTGATAATTCTGCCGGAATGTAAATTAGGCAGGTCGATAGGTCAGCAGCTAAGGAGGCCTTATATGCATGCAAATCTTGTGCGCATCTGTCTACGTGTCTGACGCTAAGGAGGCAAAATATGCATGTAAATCTCGTGCATCTGCCTTTGTGTTTGACGTCAGTGTGAGAGGACTATTAAAATTGGCATGGAAGTCCTTGTGTAAATCTATTAGTCTACATTTCAAATGTCTAAATCTACAATTTTATTTCACAATGGAATGGAAATATAAGAATTCGCTGTCTAGTTTTGAGAGTATGCCAGGGACATCAACAATAGTTGGAAACATGGGATAATTTTAGCATAACGGGCGAAGCCCGTTATGCAAATTATATTAGGGATAGTTTAAATCTGGTGGTGATAATTTGTTGGAACTGCATGTGGCGAATATTTTTTTTCTTTTTCTCAGACAATTAACTTTAAAAAATTTGCAACATTAAAAGGCAATGAAAGACAACAAAAATTTCTGTAGTTACAAATTGATATCCGAGAACTAAAATGTTATATATATTTTTAAAGAAGGATTAACAAGCACATTTCGATATCAATTTTTTTCTTATCAACACTTCCATTTTAAAAACAGAGGTGAGCTAAGCTAAATAACCGAATTTTTTCTTCTTCCAGTATTATTAAAGCAGCTGTTCAGATCCTCATCCTGCCCAGTTAAGAGTGTAAATAGTAGGTAGAGCTTTATCTCTTCAGGAAATTTTAGCCATGATACACAGTGTTTCAAACGTACTGTAACAATTATTTGATTTTTGTGTTCTTTTACCATCGATTGTATTAAACTACATCAAGGATTACTTTAACATGATTTATTGAGTTTTTGAATGCACTTTACAAAGCAAGAAATAAAGAAATCACTGGCCCCTGGATCATATATAAAAATCTTAAAAACTTGTTAAAGGAAACTCTATATTCACATATGACAGCAGATTGATGATACAAAATTGGAAAGTATTTTCATTTTGGGCTGCCTAACCTCTAAAAAAATTCAGCATCTAAGACATTTTTTGACTTAAGCTAAGATGTTTCATGATCCCGGGGCCTGGTTTTCTTTCTCATTTTTTTCTTATCCTCTAACTCTTTTTTCTGTTAGGCGAAAGGTCCCACATATTATATTAATTGACAAGGCTATGGTTTTGCAGACAAATTGACAGACAGGCAGAGATAAAGAAAAACAGACAGGCAGACAGGATGCATATTCTAACAATACACACCTTCTAATCACTAATTACAGAACCTTAAAACACAATGTGATAATATTGTGTTGTATTCTAATAGAGTTAAGGTACATACTACTAAAAGATTAATAAATTTATAAGTAAGATGGTGAGTTGTTTAATTTATATCTCACCTCTCATAAAAGGCATATCAAGTAACATTTTCAGATTACAAATATAAATTAAATGAATTGATATATCATTTGAAGATATTTAGACGCAGTTTACTTTGATGCTATGTTTTCTTATGATTTAATTCATATAGATTCTATACTTCACCTAGTGTAGAGACACAGTTATAAATATCATTTGAATGCAGATACGTATATATCGGTGGATATTGTAATGATTCTAATAAATCGGTCCACTGCAAGGTTATACGCAATAGATTCTAGTAAGTCTTTACACATAGATGTATCATTGGAAATATTCATTTATTTCAAAATAGCTGCGATCCTGGTGAAATCTAAATTCAAATAGCTATCTTCTTTAAGAATTCATCTTTTATCGCAAAAATTAACATAAATCTATTATGTACCTTGACTCTATTCAATACAATACACTACATCTCATTCTATTTTTAAGCCCTTGTAATTGATGATAAGAGGGTGTATATTTTTTGTCTATACATTCTTCTATCCTTCTGTCTACCTGCCTGTTTGTCTATCTGTCTGTCTATTTGTCTGCGAAAGGTTAAGTCCTGACAATTAATTCTGAAATGTTGATCATTAAACTTTAGAGAGAGACGAGAGAGAGGTTGTCAAGAAAGAAATATGTCCGGAATTGAAATATCATTATGAGTTGATAATTACGTCGTTGGATTGAACTCCCTATAGTTCAAGTCCGTCGGACGATACTGTATTAAGAGAGCTCCTGTATCTTAGTAGGTATGCACACAAAAAACCCTCACTGCTCTATGGCTTTGAATGCCAACCATTGGTATAAATTTGCAGCCTGTCATCGGCAAGTGTTACCTCTTCATTTGAGTGAAAAAAATCTTTCGAAATGTTTGCATGTAAGAAAATCAAGCCTTTTAATGTCTTTTACCTTGTTTAATGATAAGTTTTTTGCAAATTCCGTTCCCAATGTAAATATATTTTAAACATATGGTACATGGTTTCGATGGTAACATAACAGCAGCGAGGTGACAGGAAAGCCCTGGACATTAATAATGCACACGCATTGACCCATCACTGTCAATATAGCCTAAAATCCGAAGAATATGTGTTATTATGAACTTTTTTTCGTTTCTATAGATTATTTACGGATTACTAGTATTTAATAGACTATATTTTTGAAATGGTTTGTCATTGTGTGTAAGGAAACTATTAAATCAAAATTTTTGTTTAATTTTTTTGCTCGGCAATGTCAACAATTCACAAAAATGCAGTTAATATCGACGATTTCATTAAAACGTTGAAATCATTTTGATTCATTGTATTGTCAGGTAACATGTATTCAAAGTTAATTAAATAAGTTTAATGCAATATGCAAAAATATTCTAGGTTGGAGTTTTTATTATACCAGTCTTGCAATCCATCCGACTTTTACGCTTAACTTTAAGATTTGCATTCGACATCGATTAAAGCAAGATCAACCCAATTCACTGGCCCTATGAGGGAATGGCGTTTAATTCTTCCTCTCTGATTCAATAAACATTGTAATATTTTTACTCTTAACGCATGTATCTTCAACATATGAATACACAAATGAATGGAAATCTATAGCATTAAAACGTCATAACAGAAAGGTGTCAAAAAAATTGAAATATGCATTTTATCTTGACGCACAATCGCTGAACGCTGAGGAACTGCAACGTCACATCATACAAATCATAAACTAACTAAAACTCCCATAAAAGACATATCTTTGCAGGTGAATTTTCATACAACACGTCTCAGAGTACCTACCTCTAAAACTTCCACTGCCAAATTTGATCTTAAAGAAGTGAGACATCATACAGTATTTCATTTAGCTAGGCGCCAAATCCCACCAAATGTATCTTAAAACATGTGAAAATTAAAAATATTCATTTGCCAAGAGAATATTAGAAATCTTTATCGGAAAACATTAACAAATTGATTTTGAATCTGTCCATGTCTTCCAGAAAAAAATCTCAAAAAATCTTTATTTTTAATATTTCTCAAAATCGCAACAGTTTATGTGCCATTTTTTTTCTTTAAAAATATTAAGAATTATATCTAATGTTAACAAAAACACATAGTTTATTATGCTCAACCAGATAAATTTAACAATGCAGCCTTTTGAAGACCTTTACCCCCATATTTGTAATATCAATTTTTCAATCATTCTCTGCAAAATTTTTTAGAAAAGTAAAATTTAAAAAGATGATATAGGCTTTAAAAGAATTCAAATAGATTTCAAGTTTGTTTGTTTAAAAAAATTAAAAAGCATTAGGTCCATAAAGGCAATAAAGAATTTTGTGTCTTTGTATGCAATAAATCACAGATAGTTCCTATGGACAGAGTGCGGAGTGTTAAAATTTCCATAAATACGTTATTGAATGCTTTGTATGCTCAATGACATCCTAATGAACAAATAAATACTTGCTAAATTATTTTCAATCATCCAAAAAGATTTTTTCAGCAGATAATTGAAATTCAAAATTTTATATTGGTGTGTAATATTAAAACCGGATCCGTAAAAGTGTGGACCTTCCTTAAAAGCTTTTTAAAGCTTTATCTATGTCTTTAATAACCATTCCAATTACTTGCATAAGAAAATCAGCAACTAATGTAATCATTTTCATTGATATTTCATCGTAAAAAAATCTAGCTGAAAATTCAAATTCAGGATAAAGCTAGTCCTGAGATTCGAACATGTATGAACGATGTCATTAAAATCACCTCATACTACTTGTTTAGTTACATATCCATATCGGAGTGCTTCAATAAAATGTAAATATATTTATACACATTCACATTTTATTGACGCACTCCGACTGACAATTTATGAAATGTATTTATACACATTTCATAAATTGTCCGTCGGTGAAATTATTTTAAAGGGAATACATGTACAAAATTTATATACATGTATGAGAGAGACAAAGACAAAGAGAGAAAGAGAAAGATAGGGAGAGAGATCTTGTGTCCACTGATTCCTTATATTGAACATTTTCGGAATCGCGTACACCTGACACCGTACTGCGGACTGCGGACTATCGAACAAAAGACTGCTTTCAGGGAACGTATAGAAATACGTATTCAGTCTTTCTTAACTTTGCTGTACATTCTTTCATTTTTCTGGGATTGTTTTCATGCATGTGACACAATTTAAACATGGAAACAGATTTAAAAAAAATGTAATTATAAGCTTAATTTGTGTTTATCGAGTAAATAAAATGTAACTTTATATGTATATCAGATTATATACACAAACGTGTAGGTATTGTACAAGCATATTCAATGTAGTGATGTGTATAAATCAAAGATTGTGTTGTCTACAGACAAGTCCTGTAACAATGTCTATAACAATGGGTAACTTCCTCCTCGGATGACGCCATATCCCACTCAGAATTTTATATTTCTTTAATTTTCCGATCGAGCGTTCGATGAGGGATGTATACATCGACACAAGTCTATTAAATT